TTTGCACCGATGAAATGACAATTTAATTGTTATGCCCACCCCCCCCACCCCCACTTCTCCCACACCCGAATCAATCTAAAATGCCCATTGCTGCCCCAAAATCGCGCATACGCCATGTGGCCGCTGGCTTAAATTGCCCGAGGCAGTCCGTGCACCTTTCCATCGCCGACAGCCAATCTCGGGGATATGCCCTGCGTTTATGGACGAGCAGCCGCAGCAATTTCAATAAATCTTGGCAATGCCCTGAAAATATTAGCATAATAAAAGGCGCGACAACAGAACAGAAGGGTCAAGTCAATATCGCAAGGCTTCCAGCGCATTTGGCACATTTACACAGACAGAAGGCAGAAGTAGAAGCAGAAGCAGCAGTGACAAATTTATGTCAGCAACAAGCTATCAAGCAACTTGGATAACACCACCCAACTCCCCCCAAAACGACCTTAATACGCATAATTTGGGAGGAGCGAAAGTGGGAGGCCTTGTCATATAATGTGCTGCAGGCTTCGATCAGCAATAAAAATTCAAATTTTGCCCAGAGCGCACAAAAATGTTCGATGTCAAGCGAGGCTGCTCTTAAATAAATACCCTAGAGTTAGGGGTTGTTTGATTTTGAAGGTGTGTTTTAGGTGTTCAAAGTCCAAAGAATTGTAATAAAGCAAATAACCCTTTAATATGCGAATAAACATATATTTGAATTGAAAATAATGATATTTATTTTTTTAAAAATACTCTTTGTTAATATCAATTGAGTCTTAAAAATGTTATTATCATCTTAAATGTATGTAAAATACACTATTTTTATAGTTGAGAACTTCATTCATAGTAAGAAACTGAAGTTCTATGAAGACTATAAATTCTATTTTTATTTCGAGGTGGTAGATTGACACTTATAATTTTTTTCTAGGGTATAAAATACATCATCATCTACTTTTTTCTCCCCTGCTTTCTCGTATTAGATAATGTGTGTGATTGCAGGGATATGTAGATGTTTCCTCTCGCCCACAAATAAACATTATATTGCCCGGGGGGAAATCTCCGCTCAGTGAGATTCAGCTCAGCTGAGTTCCCGCCTTCGCATTTTTGCCAATTGGCCAACAAGTGTTGCCAAATTGCGTTGCGGTTGCTAGCCATAAATAACGGTACTTTTGTCATTTATACACATAAATTGCAGCAGACGCTGAAACGCGAAAAAAAAGCAGAAACGAACCGAACCGAACCAGTAAGCCAGTGCAGGAGAGCCGCTGCTCTGGTCATGTCCTGCTTTTGGACTAACAAAAAAAAAAAAAAGAAAACAAGAACAAAAGCCTAGGCCTCCTGCCATTTGTCCAGTCAGGATATCAGGACACCGGGATGCGGATGCCCCGCCAATGCCCCGCACTAACGACATTGGCGACACAACGCAGCTGGCGCTTGCCATTTGGCAATAATTGTTTAATATGCGGGCGCATAAAGGCGGTCGCCCCATAAAAAACAACAACAGCGGGATTGGGGCAGCGCCAGCTGGGAGCCTTCAAAGTGAAATGGCCGGAGAGGCGGGCTAAAAACACCAACCCCCCTTCCCCTTTCCCCTCCCCTTCCCCTTTTCCCACGGAGAAAGCAGCTCACACACGTGTGTCCTGTGGTCCTGTGGTCCACTGTTCGCTTCCACTGGTGCAGCCGTCACGTATTCCCTATCAACTTGATTCGACGGAGGCAAACTTCCAGTTTCAAAACAAACCCAATGGCAAGTGGAAATGAATAGGAACGAATTCTGGAGAAAGTTTGAAAAGCCGGCAAAAGTAATTGCGTTACAAAATGCCAATGCGGATTGAGGCGCCCGAAAGTATGCAGCATATTGGCGCAACCGGCTGCCGACTGCAGTTAATTACAAAACTGTCAAATCCAAAAGGTGCCTCGAATCAACGGGGCTAACACACACACACACACAAAGGCACAGGAGCAGGAACAGGAAGAAAATGTGGCCAAGAGAGAGGGAGGTGGGGAATGTGGCATAAAGCAAATAGGCAGATCAGCCAATAAAAACAAACAAAAAAGCAAACAAAAACAAAGGGGGTTGCATTGTGTTTGAACTTTTGACGCTCCTGTATGTGAAATATAATTTTGCCGTATTGTTGTATTAAATGATGTCAACAACAGCCGTCCAGCTGAGCTCGAGCTACGAGTCTCCAGTCGAGCAGTCGAATGCCCGACCAAATCGAATTTAATTGCATTGCCGCCGCACGTTGGCTTTTAATTAATTTTTGCTGCCTTCTGCCGGTGTTGCTGCTGCTATTGGTGTTGCTGCTGTTGCTGTTGCTGCTGCAGCTCAGTCAGCGCCCCAAAAAGACCAAAACCAAACAAACTAAGCGCTCGCACACACTCTCGCACTCGCTCACTCCGACCAACAACAAACACAAGTGACAGTCGAAGCTCGACAGGCCAACATCAAACGTCATGCACAGGTGCAATGTAATTAGCACGAACTGACAAAGCTCCAAGGACCAAAAGGACGGGCGGGGTGGCGACGGCGGTGGCGGCGGAGGATGCGGAGGAAGTGGCAGTGGCAGTATGAAACATAAAAACAAAAGCAAGCAAAACCTTTAAGCCCAAATGCATACAAGCAAAAGCGGAGCGATCCAAACCGATTCCAGCAGCAGCAGCAACAGCAGCAACAGCCACAGCAAGTGGCAGAGCCAGGCCAAAAAGGATGCAGAGCCAGACCGAATACACAGGTGCTCTATGAGTATAGTAATATCAAAAAATATTAAATATTAAAAAAAGTTTACCTGTGCCAAATAATCTGTACAGAAACCATTATTACAACTTTATTATATTAAAGTTAAATAAACCATATCTAAACATTTTATTCTTGGTAATAAAGTTAGCTATATTATTCGAACAAGAACATGTTTCGGAAATTTTGAGAGCTAAAATAATAAAACATATTACTAAAATAAAATTACTAAAATAGAATTGGGCTTATATTTTCCAAATGTGATTTTTAGTTTAATAAATAAAAGTTTAAATACATAAGGTAAACAAATAAAATATAAATATATATATATATCTTTTATATATATTTAAATATAGTATTTATTTTTTAATACATAATTTAAGCAAACTCAAGTTAAAATAAAATGAATTAGCAAAACCTTTTAAAACAAAATCACTTTATAAATATTATTGAAACCTTAAGGTACAAGTTAAAAATGAAAATATCAAAACCAGCCTAGAAGTAGGCAATCTAAATAAGCCCATGCGAAGTTTCTCCTCCCAATTGCACAGATTCATAGGAAACGACAACCAAATCCGAGATTAAGTCTGGCAATCAATTTGGAATACCCCATTTCGGCAAGGGTAAAACAGACGAAGGGCAGCAGCAGAAACAGCAGCGGAAACACTGGTGCCCGTTTGGTCGTAGCTCCACTGGCAGCGTTTTAATAGCTTTGGAATTCCAATGGCAGCTGTGACGCCGTCGCCGAGCCACCGGCCTTAGCCAACCAATTTCCGCCCACAAAACACCACCCACCGAGCACACCCACCGAACACCAAACACCACCCACCAAACGCCTTTCTGTCCACCCAAAAGCTTTCTAAATGAGCCCAAAAGGAGCAGAGGCAGGACGAACAGCTAACAGCGAACAATGGCAGGGCCCGACGTTCTTGTCGAACATTTCGAAAAATTATTGAGAAATTTTTAATTTTCCCACTTACGCAGGCCAGGCGCACGCGAAGTTACAATTACAACAACAGGGGGAACAGCAACAACAGCAACAACAGCAGCAACAGCAACTACAACAGCAGCAACATCAGTTTCTGTTGGCGTCAGCTGCAATGGCTGTTTTTGTTGTTGCTTTTATTGTTATTAGCTATGCGAACGTATTCATGCACTTCTGCACCCACAACTGCCATTTTGTTTATGACATCGACGATGGCGCCGCGAAAAAGGAGGATTGGGGGGCGTGGTTTTGGCAGCTGCTGCAGCTGCAACTTTATGTGCATTTTCGGCATACGCCTTTTACTTTGTATATTGCCCATCACAGGATCCCTTGGGAAAGTTCGGTTTATTAAAAAAATATTCAAACATCAATGTAGATCATGGAAATCACAAAATAACCCCATTTTTTACTAGCCAAAAATTGTATAGTTAACAACAGAACTTTAAGACATTAATTGCATATTCCAGTTAATCAGAGAAACTAAATAAAAATGCTATTGGCAACTAAAAGTGCTTTTCGCCATCAAATCTAAAATGTATTTAGGAAAATAATTAAATATGAATTAAAATCAAAAACAGGGTCTTCCAAAAACAAAAAACAGGCACTTTTCTTTACATGCAACATATGTTAGCCATCTAACCCTAAGGACATATATTGCAGATTTAAGGAGCTGAAGAACACCTAATTCCAATAAAGAAAATATGGGAATCTAAATTAAGATCCCAAAAATCGAAAAAGCCACTATTTAGCAACCTGCAAGAACTTTTAGCATCCCGAAAGCAACACCATCGCCATTTCCTGCTGCTGCAAAATGGCGCCCAGCTTTGTTTGCCATTTCTTCGTTTTTTATGATTGCCTGCCACAACTTTTTCGCCATTGGCATCGATATTGGTGGCCGTCGTCGCTGCTGGCGATGTTGCGCTGTTGCGGTTGCAAGACCTTGTTGTTTTTGCCGTTGTTTTGTATGGATTTTGCACATCGTTTATCTTAGGCGACGGCCAACGAAGTCGCAGCTGCCGCTAGCGAGCGGAAATGGCGTTAATGTTGCAACAGCAGCAACTGCAAAAGTAGCAGCAACGGCAACGGCAACGCCATCGGCAAAGGCAAAGGCAACGCAACTGCAGCAGCTGCCAATGAGCGAGAACTTAATCTTGGGGATTTAACACTTTCGATATATCTTGTGGCGGTAGCAGCATCTTCTGGCCGTAAAACGTATTGGCTCCCATTATCGGTTAAGCTGCCATTTTATGGCCAAGAAACGCGACCGGCTTTTCGGGCCGCATAGAGAAACAACTTCATCACTGGTATTTTCGGAATCAGTCGTTGTTTAAGCGTTAAAAATACATTGGGACACACACAAAACGGTTAGCTATATACACAAAGGATTGGCTGGAATCAAATTTTGTGGGGGATTTATCCTCAGAGCCCCGCTTTTCCCGAACGCAAGGACTCGTACTGGTCCTGGCTAAGAGGTCTGTAGATCCCGTCCCGATTCAGGTAGTAAATGGGATCCGTAAGCGTTTTGATGTCATAACCCTCCTGGGCCAACTCTCGTTTCTTCAGCTTGAATGTGGCAGTGCGGGGAATCTCGTCCAGAATTCGGATGAATAGGGGGCGGGCATAGGTCGGTAGACTGCCCCTCAGAACTATGGACAGATAATCCATATCCACCTTGCGGGCTGGATCCACAATCGCTGCCATTCCGGCCTTACCCTCCACATAGGGGATCTGTAAAGATAAGGGCCGGCAAGATAGTGAAAATCGAGGTTTATGGCCATGTTTCAGGTGGTTCGCTATCTACAATAAGTGGTCGAGGTGATTCAGAGCAACATGGGTAGTTCCCTCGGCTACACTTGAGAAAATAACAATACATAAGAGGTTGAGGAATATTCTTGATTTACAATAATGTGGTAATTGGTAAGTGCTATCAAACGGTAATCAAGAAAAGATTTCCATCTTTCTTTAAGATTGATTTCTTCTAAGAAGGCGTTTAAAAAAAAATTGTATTGACTTCAATGATAGGAAAATTTTAAAATAAGATACCATTTATTTATGATTCACACTGCGAAGTAGAATTCGAATTGTAAATAAAAAGAAGGAATATTAAATATCAATCACTTTTAAGATAAAAGTATTGGTAAAAATTGATTTCCCCTTAATGTTGCTTATTGTTTAATAAACTCCTAGAATAAACAAGTTAAATTATAGGAAAGGCATCTTTTATTTAAGTTTTCCCTTACTAGTTTGAATGAGATTTTAATATTGTAAGAAGAAATGGAGAAGTTCATACAGGTATTTGTAGATATTTTCTCTATTACTCTTGTAGATCACAGTTTTTAAGTACTCACCTGAACACCGTACACCACACAATCCTCGAGACCAATGCAGTTGGTGATGGTGGCCTCCACCTCCTGGGTGGCCACGTTCTCGCCCCGCCAGCGGAATGTGTCACCCGTGCGATCCTTGAAGTAAAAGTAGCCGAGGATGTCGCGCAGCACCATGTCACCGGAATTAAAGAAGACATCGCCGGTGGAGAAGACATTTCGGAGGAGCTTCTGCTCCGAGGCTCCTTTATCCGCATACCCATGGAAAGCACTCACTGCTCGCCGGGCATCAACCTTGCCCACCAAAAGTCCAGCTTGTCCTGGCAGACACCTGATGCAGTGACCCCGCGAGTCCTTGATCAGCTCACCCGTTTGCTCATCACATCGCAGCACTTGGACAGGATAAAGCCGCGATCCGTAGACTGGCACAAAGCCAATGGCTCCCACTCGATTGGTGATGTTGATCAGATTGGAGTTGCCCTCGGTGGCGCCGTAGATCTCTCCAATATGCGGAATGCCAAAGCGACGGACGAACTGCGACCAGATCTGTGGCCTCAATCCATTGCCGTACATCAAGCGAAGGTTGTGCTTTTGCTGATCCGGAGTGTAAGGAGTGGCCAGGAGGTAGCGACACAACTCCCCAATATATTGAGCCACTGTGCAATTGTGGCGGTTGCAATCCAACCAGAAATTCCTGGCCGAGAACTTCTTGCGTAGCACCACCGTGGATCCATTGAGTATGGCATTACCCACACCCACAATTCCGCCAGCGGTGTGATAAAGAGGCAAAGGATTATACACCACATCATTGCTGGACATCCTTAGCATATAGTAAGATCCAGCGGACATGAATAGAAATCGCAGGTTGGTTATCACAGCAGCTTTGGGCAGACCCGTAGTTCCAGAGGTGTAAACATAGAGCAGTTTCGATCTGGCTTCTTCAGGAGACTTCGAACTTGGTAGCTCCAGTATTTGTTGGTTTAATAAAGCACTCCTCAGATCCACAGCTCCTGGCAGGAGATTATGTTCTGGAACCTCCCGCAAGTCATCATCAGTGTATTGATAGATGGGTACATCCTGAAGCTGTTCCTTTTCCTTCAGCGATTTCAACACATCCACAAGTTCACTGCCTACAATTATGGCCTTGGCATTGGCCACTTTTATGGAGTGGAGCAGAGACTCTCCTCGCAGATTGGAGTTTATAAGGGCAGTGATCACTCCGAGTTGCGAGAGACCCAACCAAATGCAGGGATACTCCAAACGCGTTTCCATTAACAAAGCCACGCAATCGCCCTTTTGCAAGCCTTGATCCTTGAAATAGCTAGCGATCTTCTGGGTTAATTCCAAAGCCTCCGCAAAAGTAAGACGACGATTGTCCATGAGAAAGCAGGTTTTCTTGGGAAGAGATCTGGCCTGCTCCTGAAAACATCGGGCTACGGTGAAACCACCACGATCCCTTCTCAGAAGGTAGATATTAAGGGCTAAAAAGCGCTGCACAGCCCTGAAAAGGGAAGCCAAGTTAGTAAGTTCTGGCTCAGATTGAACCCACATATACCCACATCAAGTCCCTTGAGCAGGTCATAACCAGGGCAAACACAAAGGTGGGATTCCTTAGGAGAAGAGCCACAATCGCTCCCAAAGTGAGACTGGCCACCGCGTTGTCCCAACAAAAGCTGGCGAAGATCAGAGTGGCCAACAGAAGGGTTCCCAGTCGAGTGGCCAACTTCTGCTTGAGGTTCAGCTCCAGCTGGATCTCCATTTTCTTGCCGCCAGTCTCCTTCTGATCTTGATCCTGATCCTGATCCTCCCGATCGCCGCGCTCCTCGTTCTCGCTCACTGCGAAGGGCAGACAGCAAAAGCAACAAACATGGTCGAATTAGTTACTCGAAACGGATGGATACGATTGCTGTGACAGCTACAGCAAGGTCTAATTTAGCAATTTGTGGGTGTGTGTGTGGGTGTGGATGAGGGTGTGGGTGCAACCCTTCCAGTTCCTATTCCAATTCCAAATCCAATTCCACCTCCACTTGCGACTAGGACAACCGACGGCGAACGACTGAGTGATAAGCGGACTAAAGCGTTGTCTGATACCGATTTACTATTCGGTTTGTGGGTCGCAAGTTCTTATCAACCGCCGCCATGAGTTTAAAAGGGGTTGTGGTGCACTGACAAGTGCTTAGGGGCCTCAAGTTGGATCGGCTGCTAAAATCCCAGTTATGCACTCAAAACATTTATTCAAACCCAAGTAGAGCAGTGACAATTGAGCGGGAGAGGTGTGAATAGCATTTTATTTTAATAACTGGAATGGAAAACCAGCTGTCGCAACTGATTTTAATCAATGTTGTACTTTGAAATACCCATTTTCATTCGACTCATTTAGTTACTAGATACCATACACCCATTTTAATATTATTAATTTTTTTACGAGGTAAAAGAGAAAACAATTTTGAAATGGTTTCTGTAAAACGTAAATCTTTTTTGAAAATAAAGAGAGAGTAATTAAGGAAAGTGCTTAGGAAATGTATATACTAACTTATGACTTAATATATCTTTCACACCTTAATTACTTTCGGTATAAATTATATTAAAGTCGTTACATGGTTAAAAAGCTAATTAGTAAATTTCAGAGTAATGTAACATTTACGACCTAAGCTAATGCGTTTTTTATAGCGATATCATTCTAATTGGAGGCCTCAACTTTCCACCCATTGAGTATGGAAATTTTTCGGGTTAGTAGGTGAGCACTCGACATTAATCTCTCCAATTGCTAAGTGGTTAATCAGTCCATAAAAACTCCGCTAGCCATTGAACCTGCCCTGCTGCGAACAGCTGAGATATCACAGCGTCTGGTTCTTTGTTTTGCCGGCTTATCGCGAAAGGCGCCCAACAATGTACAGGTGGTCAGAACAGTTGCAAACAATGCAGTTGCGAATGCCATACCCCGAAAGGGTATACTTGCACTCCATGTAATCGTAGAGCCATGGGTTAAGGGAGCTATCAAGTGACGAGCCGGCTTCAAAGTTCATTGCTACTTGCCGCTTGTTTATACCAACATGGACACGCTATCGCTATAAAAGTGTGGCTTCTACATATATGAGTTATGTTCTGGCGTCTATGCTGAAGGGACCTTGACTTATTTCGTATGCCAGGCACAGAGTTTTTATAAGCCGTTCTATTGCGCACACGCAGTTCTTGGCACTGGTCATGCCTGGCTGGCCATGGAATTGGATTTACCAAACGTTTTACATGACTCTTTTCTGTTCGGTGAGTTTTGGCGCCCCCATGCCATGATCAATGTAATTCACTTTTCAATGTCAGTGCAGCGCCCCCAAATGACATACTTTTTTTTAGCACGATCACAAACAGTTCTTTGCACGGAAAACAGCAACAATACGTAGATATAGCACGAATGATCTGTACAACCGACGTCGGATCGCTGAAGTAACTGGCGCTGCGCTCGGGAGCTGGTTTTTATACCCACAGACATGCCGAGCAAATCGGCGAGTGGAAGAGAGTATATGTACATGTATTATTATTAAGTATTCTTTAACACGAGAGACAGAGCAAAGTCAGTCCAAAGCAGCCTCCGAAAGAGATCGCTATGATCGGAGACACTTTCTACAATCTGTTAAGTTTACAGAGCTCTGTTAACTCGCTTAAAAAGTATTAAGATTTAAAATATAAATATAATAAAAATAAATTAATTTAAAAGATGAGCTTTTCTATTCGAACTATTTTTTAAAGGAAGATAATGATTGGATTAGGTTTTTTTTATACAAGATTTTAAACGATGTTTTCTATTAATCAGATAAATTTTAAAACAAACTTTTTGAACATATAAACAACTAAGACATTAACATAAACTTTTGTCTTTACACTTAATCAATTTAGTATTCTTTAAAACCATTAAAAAAATCGGTGGAGGGGGGAAGTTTCAACTCTTTATCTTACGTTTTGCCACACTTAAAAAAAGGAATATTAAAAAAAAACTCTAAATTATAGAAATGTAGCAAATTAAAGCAACCCGCCACTCCAAGTCGGTTCGAAAAGTCAAAGTTTTCCATCCTACTTTGCTCTTTCCACCTGTTACAGTGATTTGAAATTTTTTAATTAAGCATTTTTTATTTGCCAAGAAAAACAAAGCTGTGAAGTAATTTCTGTGCTTTCTTTCTCTTTCGCTCTTTATTATTCTCTTTCTCTCACACCCGGCAACGAAATGCTGTGTGAAAATAAATTAACATAGGGCAGCCTCTGCTGGCGTCGGCGTCGACGTCGCTTAGCTGTCAAATGCCGGCAGCACAAATATAAAAAATATGTGCATACTTTCGGGCGGCGCATATAAAAAATGTGCGCATACTTTTTGGCAGCTTTTTGAGTTATCGACGGTGTGAGAGCGAAACTAAGTGAGCGCATATGCATGTGTGTTGGTGTGCCGGCTGTTCCTGCTGTTCTGCGTGTGTGTGTGTGTGCGAGTGTGTGGGTGTGGGCGCCTGTAATTGACACATGTTACGCGCACAAAAGCCTGCGACCCGGGGCTCAGTCCATCGTTATTATCGACAATGGCGCCGCCGAAAACACACACACAGCCGCAGCCATTCGCTCCCCCTCCCCCCCTCCCAACTCCCTTATCCTGGATCCTTCCTTCATGTCAGATGCCTTTGCTGCACAGCCTTCAAATGCAGGCTCGCAGACACGCAAACTGGCAGCCTCAGTCAACTTTGTTTGTAGCCGGCGAAAACAAAAACACACACACACACACAGGCGGTAGAGGCCCAGAAGCAGGCAACACACACACAGATAAAGGAAGAGTGTCAAGTGTCCCGACTGTAAAATATCCTGTACTAATAATTATGTTATGTTAAATAGGCTGCATCCTTAAGGCGCTCGTTTAAAAAGCTTTTAAGGTATTATGGTTAATATAAATATCCTTTTAGGGTGTCAGCAATTTTGCGGTGATGTCTATACTTTTATGGTTAAAGCATAAGCAAAATATTTTACGGACTCAAATTTGAAAAATTAGAAGAAGTACATATATAAACATCCCACATAGTTTTATTACTTATGAGTAACAAAAGTTGGTCCAATATTATTCTTTTTTTATAGAAATTTAACACTTTAAAAAAACTTTATGAGTTTCCAAAATTAAGCTTTATCAATTCTCTGTTTTTTATAGAAATAAATTTCTCTGAAAATTCTCAAACATTATATCTAATGCATTAAAGGAATTTATATAGATTTTAGGGGTCTTGAAAACATTTATTAAAATTATGCAAAGATTTCTAAATATTCCCAATGATATAATTGACTACATAATTTTCAAACAGATATTTATAAAGTGATTTGAGGTCATCAACAAGACTTTCTTTTTCCTGTTGCATAAATGAAAACCTGCCTAACACACCCATGAAATCTACGATTACTGGGTAGAAAAACAGACCCACACAATTTCACCGGCACAGCCGCTTGCTGATAACGTTAACGTCAGCTGTGCGGCACTTTGGGCCACACGTGAGTTCTGGGTCTGGTTCAGGGCCAAAAGGGGGTGGCCAAGAGGGGGTAGGGGGAATGGGAGGGGAGGGGGGCCAAAGTCGTGCGCAGGCAAGCGTCAAACGGTTTGTACCTTAAACCCCCAGGCGACGGCATCCTTGCCGCACCCCTCGCTCCCTGTATTTGGCATTTGTTTGTGTTGTCAACAAAAGTTTCTTTGAAATCAGTAACAGATGTCGATTGAAATGGCACAATTGCTGCCAGCTCGGCAGCTCGGCAGCTCTGTAATGTCGAGCATCGCTGGGTGGCCGCCACTTATGCTGAATATTTTTATGCCAGACGCACACACAAGAGGGCCAGGCCAAGATATCCGGCGAGCGGGCTCATTGTGCGCTAGTTGCCTGTCACATTTTAATTAAAATTTCAGCGCCCAAGTTTTAATGTTAATGCATTGGCATCGATTGGAGCTGGAAAACAATATACAGGGGGGGAATGGGCTCTCGGTGGGGGGTGGGAAATAAACATAACTCTATCCGGCGGAATGGAATTTGGTAATGTTAATTGGGGGTGTTGCAGGAATCTCAACCTTTATGTGGATTTATCGATGACAAAATTATACTAAATTAGGTACTTTACTATAATTCGTTAAGTAAGATCAAAAGAATATTTAGCTCTTTAATAAATGTTGTGTATACAAGTAATGACTATCTATATATAGCTAAAAGAAACAAGAAATAAGCAATTAAATAACTACTCTTTAATTAACCATAATTTTAATTAATGAATTGAAGTTTATTATTCCATTTATCTTTAGACATATCTTGTAGAATTCAATAAAACCTACTAGTTCTGCTCTTTCCTTATCAAATGCTTTATGGATTTATTAAGCACCTAATTCATGAACTCATATACATAGTCCTTTAAAAAATATCAAGAGTATCTGCTAGCAACCAGACTCAAGATCCTTACTCGAATTTATCCAAATGAGGGATTTGCAGGGCATCCAAACTTCGTCCAGGCTGTCATCCCTCTTCAAATGGATCCCTGTTTCCCTGTTGACAAGCTGCTTTCTGTGGGAGTTTGGCTTGTGGCTGCTGGCGATAACAAACGATAACTGCATGTTAAATAGAAGCTAACGAAAGGCTAGCCGGCACAAAGGGGTAATCGAGTGGTCTAGTGGTGATGGAGGGGGAGGGGGAGGGGGGATTCCCCGGGGAGATGGGAAAGGCAGCATGTGCAAGCTGGAAGCTGGACGTGCAGCCATTTGAATGTGCAGCCATCTCACTCACAACCGGAAGTGGAAGTGGTGAGGGGGAGGGGAAGGGGGTATAGCTGTAGCTTTAGGAAATCACTCAGGTAGCAAATGCCACCATCATCATCATTGTTGTTGGCTGAAGGGTTGCAAAAAAGCGCACAGCATCTAGACAAAGGCAAAGTTAAGGCAAGCTGTCTCTCCGTGTGTTGGTATTGGTGTTTGAGTGTGGGTGTGTGTGGGTGTGGGTGTGCCGCAAGCCATGTGTGTGCGTGTGCAACAAATGTTGTGGGTGTCCTTGGGGGCGCAAAAGGAGATAGGGGGCATGGACTAACGAGCTTTTACTTGCTCGCTTGCAATGCGACAGCAGCAGGTGTGCCATACATGCACACAGCCGCAAAAGGAGCGCACACACACACAGATACAGATACTCACCCTGGGCACACACACACACACACACAGATACTCACACCGACACACGGGGCACACAGCTGAGTGACGATAATTGAAATTTCATCACAGTAGTTTGTGGTTTTGTAGCACACTCACTCGCACACTCGCACACTGGCACAACCAGACCCACACTAATGCGCTTTTCATGGCCTTCTTTTAGGCTGCCAATCGAATTGTTATTTTCTAATTCGTATTTAGGAATCGCAACGGATTTTCGTTTGGTTTAAAACACTTTATTTCTTGGGTTTTTCATTTGTCGTAGCCTTGCAGCCTTGGTTTTGTAGGTGTAACATTTACTTGGTATTTGTTTATGATAAAAGTACATTTACGTTTTAGTTTATAGAATACAATAAATACTAATCAATAAATTAAACTCATTCAATAAATTAGCCATAATCATAATCATAATCATAATCATACTCATAATCATATCCGTAGTAATATACTGTATTGTATTAATAAAATCTACTATGTTCAGTTTTTTGTTTTTACTCGCTTTGGGTTGCTTACTTACAGAATTTTACTGTTTATCAAGTGTTGCTTTTTTAATGAGTTTACTTGCTTATGAAATCTTTAATAGTGTGCACATATTGTTAATAATATTAATGCATTTTATGTTTTCTGTTTGTGAAAGTGCTGATGGTAAAATGGAATTTTCGTACATTTATTAAGTCACAGGTTGGAAATTGAAGGATAAATTCGTTAAAAAGTATTTCTTTGAGTAATTTAAGTTGCAAAAACATTTTTCTTTTCTTTAATTTCTCTAAGAAATGTATTCCTTTTGATTCTTACCCTTCAACCCGTTCGTTAATGATTTTCTGCTTGAAACATTGAAATGTATAAACTCTAGTGAAAATGCACATTAATCTGTATCTATTTATGCGTTTTTGGATGTTAAGCATCATCTAGTTTCTTGTGTCTTTAAATGACGATGCTGACATTACTCGTTTTTTGGTTTTTGGATAACTCTATATTAGCTGCATAATTGTAAGTGTGTATATGGTTTTTAGTGGTTCACCCCCTTTTTAATTTGACTAGCACAAGTACTTCTTCTTGGGTTTCATCATGCGAATGCGTCATTTGGAGCCCAACCCGTTGGCCACCAAAGCACCTGGTGTGGCAGCGGCCACAGCGGCAGCCGAGGCGCCTCCGCCACCCCCTCCGCCTCCTCCACCGCCCCCTGGTCCAGAGGGTCCGCCGCCTCCTGCCCCTCCGCCGACTCCTGCTACTCCTGCCACAGGACCTCCCACCGGACCGCCGCCACTGGCAGCGCCCACCGCCTCACGGGCGCCCGCAGCAGCAGCCGCAGCCGCTGCCGCCGCCTGCAGATGAGCCGCGGAGTTGGGCGTGGGTGGCGACCTGGTGGCCATCGCACTGCGCAGAGTGCTGGCCGAGTGCAGGTGCTTGGCGCTCAGCTCACTGGCCCGGGAATTGCCGCACACCTGCAAGGAAATGGGGGAAAATTTAATTACAAATTTCATACATAACAGAAAATATCAAGGATAAATCTAACCCAATTCTTAGCTTTTAAAAGAGTTTAAAAATATTTAAATTGAAACTTTTAAGTTATATTAAAAACTTATAGATTATGATCTTAAATAAATTTTATGGTACAACAATTAAAAAAAATATATACAAGTATATGTTGAAAGTAACTATTTTAAAGTATTTTAGTCGATAGCTTCTTTCAAAAACTTATTTTGTTCTTTATGTATAGTTTGAAATTATATCCGGACTTTACATTTATAAAATGTTATATACAGTTATTTTGTTGATTTTTAAATAGACGTACTTTTTTATAACATTTAAATTTCAATTGACATATAAAGTATTTAACTAAAAAATCGATTTAAAGCAAGGAACATTTTTAATTTATATAGTGCTTTTTCTTAAGTACCTATCTATTTATTAAAAATAACTAATTTAATTTAGAAAACCCACCTGATGGTGACTATCCCAATCCCTGTACTGGCATGAAGCGCTGCAATAGCGGGCCATGTTGCAACCGGAGCAGGTTTCCGTGGCCTTGCGACCGCAATTCCAGCACTGCTGTTGCAGATTGCTGCCCTAAAAGTGGGGAAAAATAATTAAAAAATGTTAATCACATAATTGTTTTAGAAAAACTTACATTCTGAGAACTGGGCATTGAAGGCGACTTGTTGTCCAGATCCCGTTCTCCGCTGGAATGGCGACTCATCTCCATGAAGAACTTTTCCATGCGCAAGCGTTCCTGGGTCATAATCTCCGCTGCCCGCGTTTCGGCTGCCACCACTGCCCTCTGGATTTCGATGACAGCTTGGCGCTTAACCTGGATACCAAAATGCAGAACAAAATTAAATTTAATTAAATACAGGGGTTTTGTTTTTGTTATGAAACTCCTTAACAATCCTTTTAAATCTTGAAGTCTAACTAAGGACATTTATTTGAATAATCTTAAAGTAATCTTGTTAATTTTATAATGAAAATCTTTTCGTTCAACAATATTGGTTATATGCCCGCACATTTTACACGAAAGCTATAGGATATAGTTGTAACTTGGCACAAATAATTCCCAGAGCTTCAGCACAAACTTTGTGCATCTGACGAGCTAAACTTTCAATACCCATCACTTTTCGAATATTTTATTTTTTTTCATTAGAGACTTTTGCGGAAATTCAATTTTTGGCTGTGAATGCCAATCAATTGAAAATTTTATAATGAATTCAACGAGGTATGTCACTCCACCATTTGGCCATTATTTTTCAGGATGTCGATCAACAAACAATAATTTAAGTTGATTTTTTTCTAATTAAATAAAATTATATCCACAAAGTGGTTTTACCTTATGACCTTTTATTTACTTATTATTCAATTTTATTTTTGTTTTCTTTTTACAAATTCAGGTCGGTACCTATGGCAAGTTTAAGTTTTAAGGTAAATAATAACTAAGGTTGTAGTTTAATTTTCGATATCAACGAGTTTCAAAACTAAATATTTTAAAATTAATTTAGCAATAATTTGGTTTCTATGGCTATTTTTTATCGGTCTAATTCGGTAACGAAATCCTTAAAAGCCCCGTAAAGTATTGCAATTCGAACAGGTTCTTCGTCTAAATTAGAGCAACCCCTCACCTGTGTGACGGCATCCTCGGCGTTTCGCTTGAACTCGGCGACCTTCTCCTCCGTCTGGCGACGCAGTTCCGCCATGGCCGCCGGCGTGACCTCCTGACCACTGTTGGGATGCTGCGGCTCGATGCCCCGCTGCTGGAGGATCGTGATGGCCCGCTTCGTCTTGTCCACCATCGCGGAGATGCAGTTGAGCATGGTGTGAATGTTCTTCCACTCCTCCTCGCCCCCCGATCCCGGTGCTCCAGGGGCAGCTGCATTTGGATTGGCATTGGGGTTCGGGTTGGGGTTTCCAGCTCTTGGTGGCGGAGCAGCGTGCCTGGCCTGCGCCTCGCTCATCCTCAGATCCCGTTCGTCCCTTTGCATGAAGGCCGCTGCCGAGGGCAATCCCTCCGCGGATGAAACTCCATAGTCCCCGTAGGCCACCACCGAGTGGGCGGGATGCAGGGTCAACCGTTTGCTGGGCGGCGGTGGATAGCCAGCTCCCCCACTCGCCATGTACTCACTCCACTCCTGCAGGCCATTGTGCCCGCCGTGCTCCATCATGGAATCGGAGGAGAGGCGCTTGAAGACCCCACTGCCGCCATTGGAAGTGGGCGCCTCCAGCTGGATGAATATGTCCCCGAACTCGGCACTGGCCACTCCGTGCGGGGCAAACTCCATCACCGCCTGCTCGTTGTTGGTCACATACTGCAGGGCGGACTGGTTGGTGGCCCGGGCCAAGGCCAGCACCTCCCGCTGCACCAGCGCAATGCTGTTCTTCAGCAGCGGCACCACATAGGGACGCAGGGGCAGGTTGATGGCCTCCTGCAGGGCCAGCCGGAACTCCTCCACGGAAATGCTGCCGCAGCAGAGGGAGAGCACCAGGGCGCGCACCCGCTCGCTGACCTCCGGCTGTCCCAGTTCCTGGGAGAACTGTACCAGGGCGCCCAGGAACTTGCGCATCTTGGCCACCAGACGCGCCTGTTCCACATGGGCGGCGGCAGCGGCGGCGGCTGCGGCAGCGGCCAGGGAGGCGGCATGCTGCTGACCGCCCGGAGTGGGCGTGGGCGAGGTGCCCGAGGAGCCCACTCCTCCTCCGCCGCCGGACGATCCATTGACCACCGGCGAGACGCTGGCGTTGCGCTGCGGCCGCTGGTGCAACTGCAGCGGGGAGTGGGGCGAGCGGGGGGCCAGACTGCGCGAACTGTCCGGCGGAGAGTCCGGCGGAGTGCGGCATAGCCTGTCCCGCTCCCGCTCCCGCTCCCTCTCCCTGTCCCTTTCGCACCGACTGCTGGATGTGTGGCTGCTGTCCTTGCTGCTCGAGGAGGAGGAGGAGCTCTTGTCCCCGCCGCTGCTGCTGCAACTGTTGGCTGTTGAGGGGAAAAGAGGAAAGAGGAATTGTTAGTTGCATGTTTGGCCAGGAGCAAGGGAAACAAGTCCGAGTCCAAGTTCGAGACCAGGACAGGATGTGCAGCCCAGGCGCATTACAAATGCATTAGCAGAAACCGAGGGAGAGGGGGCGGGTGCGGGATCGGAACGGAACGGAAATATATATGCCACCTAACCACAACAAGCTACAGCACTTGTCCCACAGATCTGGCCGGGTAACTACATACACTACACACAGTACACTACATACTACATACTAGACACTACAGCACGACCAACTGCCGGCATTAACAAATTTGTTTGAACATGGGAAATAAATTAGCAAACATTTTTGGCCCTACCGAAGTGCGGTGCCGTGTGGTTTGGGCCCAGTCAGGCAAGCAAATCAAGCACCACATAACGCACTAATTGCAAGGCTTGGGTGGGTTTGCAACATGGGTGGTGGAAACTGGATGAGGATGTGGTTGTTGTTGGAGGGATTTGGGATGAGGGGTTGAAGGATGCTCCGTGGGTGGATGCAACACATTGCGGTACGTGCTGTCCCATCGCATCCATATCCATGATCCTCGTAGAGCGATGCTGTAGCTCAAAAATGAAAAGCTTAACGCAAATCCGCAGTGCGCAGCTGGACGGAGAAGCTGCTGGGAAACTCTTTGTCAGGCGACCAAATTTGGGAAACTGAGTTGGTATGAATAACTCGAAAGGGTTCTTTTTTCATTGCCATTGGCATTTTGAAACATAATCGTATGCTGTGGTCTTTGAAAGTGGCTGCAATACCAATTTCAATGGTGACTAATATGAGTTATATTTGTATTAATAAATTAATAACAACTGATGTTTACTATTTTAATGTTATTATTCGCTGGGTAGTAAATCACTGTTTAATATTTAAGGTTAACTCTAAAAGCTGGATATATTCCATAAACACCTACATTTCTATTTTTCTCATAATAGGAAAACTTTATACTGAAGAGTGTATAAAAATATCTGACTATTGCTTTTGAAAAGAAGATGCTTTTTTAAGAAGATGTTCTTTGACTTTCGAAAGAATCTTTAAAAATTCGAACCTTTGTTGTCTAACATCTTACTTAAAGTAATAAGGGTTCCAAGCAACAAGTCTTCAATAACCGTAGGACTTTGGTTAAAAGGAACTTCTAAAATGTTTCCATTTTCGTCTTTCAGAGTTTTTGCATCGTTAATGGAACAAAATGAAAGGGCTTAGGACACATTTGTCGCCTGCGACGACCAAACACACACAAACTTTGTTTGCACAAGCTAATGGAAATTGTTTATGGGTGTGGGTTGGTGGGTGGGAGGATGGGTGGTGGGGTGGTGGGGTGGTGGGGTTGCTGGCTGACAGACACTCTGGGTGGCGAATGTTGCTGATGACCATGATGATGAGGACGATGATGATGACGACAAGGACGATGGGAATGGCAGTCAGTTGATGTTGCCGCTGCTGCTGCTGTTGCTGCTGTTGCTGCTGTTGCTGCTGTTGCTGTTGCTGCTGCTACTGTTGCTGCTGTGCGGCTGCTGCTGCACAGTTTGCTTTTGTGATAATGATTGTGGATACAGCTGCAACTGGCTGTGTTTTCACAGCCATTCAGGCACGCCACCGCCATGCCAATCGAAGGGCCACACAACCACCCACTCCCACTCCGACTCCCACATCCACTCCCAACCAGAATGGGGGACACACGGATGGTCGGAGGCATCAGTCAACCGAGTCGGCGGCTCTTATCAAACGCCAAACATAGACAATGATGGATCACATGCCGCTCCCCAGTGCCACGGCCCCTTTTTGCAGGCTTAATTGGCCGGCATTGCCACATCCACATCCACATCCACAACCCTTTGCCCTTTTTCTCGGCTGCTGTACAATTGTAAAATATTGCACTTGACCGGGCTTAAAAGTTTTGGTTTGTTTTGGTTCGGTTTGGTTTCGTTTGGTTTGGTTTGGTTAGGTTTCGTTTGGTCCTGTTGTGGGAAAACCTCAACTGCTGACCCAAAGTTGCTGTCCAGGCAGCAGCTGCTACCAAGAAAACCCACGCAAAACCGAAAAACTATTTACGAAAATTTTGTGTTGACAATTCACATATTTTCTAAAACATAATGTTTGGGCGGAGGCAGGGAGGCGATTCAACTGCTGGGCCAACATTTGCCAGCATCATGAGCTGCTCCCTCCAGCGTTGGCATCGATTTAAGGTTACGTATACGCAGCGTGGTCCCTGCCTGCATCTGTTTCTGTGTGAGTGTGTGTGTGTGTCTCCTCTGAGTGCCAGTGTGTGTGTGTGTGTGTGTGTGTCTATGTGGGCAACAGAATTTGCACAGCTGCGTCCCATAGATTGCAGTCGAGCGCACAAAACGAAACGTTGGCAAGTTTAGTTTGTTGTTGCTATTGCTGCTGCTGCTGTCATTGCTGTTGCTGGCATAGTCATTTGGGAAAACAATCATTTTGGCAAATATTCATCATGCACTGCTTCTGATTATCATCGGAAAAGGGGGTGGGGCAATTTCACAGGGGGAAGCTGCGGGAGTGCCCGGAAAATGATAATTGCTGGTGAAAGGAAAGAAATTCAAGCGACTTAAATGCTGGGGCCACACACATCATTTGCCTGGGAACTGGCGCAGGTAGCAGATTTCCCAGCAATCAAAGCCGCAATGATCCCCTTTTCGCCACCCCTGCTCTCCTCTCCAGGCGCCCAAAAGCAGGCAACACAAAATACTCGTCTGCGTGCGGGCTTCTGATGCTGGGAACAATGCCAGCAGCGGTTTCTGTTTTTTCCTCTTTTTGTCTGTGGGGGGGGATGGTTTCGGGGGAAAACTAGCAAAATGCTTTTGGCCTTTTTCATTCGCAAATTCGTGAAGTTTCTGACTGTGGCCTGTGGTCTCGGCTCGGAAAAACCATTTAAAAAGTAGCGAATTTCCTATGCTCTGATGTGGAGTTCCAGTTGAAGCACCACAGCAGAGTTTGAGATGGGATCTAGGTCCGAATTCCTCTGGATATAAACATTTTAAAGAGGTGGTGGAATACGTCCAGCTGCTGGATTTCACACCATCAAGTACACAACGAAAAATATAGAAGAGATTTTGAACATTCTCTCAAAGTTCCATAATAAAGTAGACAAACTGCCATGACTATGATTTATACAATTTATTTTCGGTTCCATTATCTAAGCATAATATGTATTTACCTTTATATCAATTCATTTTGTATGCTTTCTGTCTAATATTTGAACATTAGGCACGCAGCTTTAATCTTTAACAGCTTAACTTTTTGTTACCATAATTCACAAACAAATTATTAATATTCCTAAAAACGGTGAAGGGTAAGTTTAGATAAAAAACTGCAGTAATCCACTTCAAAACTCTACATCTCTAATATAAAATCATAAAATCAAATGAAATCAATAATAAATAAATTAATTGTATTTAAATTGACATGCTGCCTACATTTTTCTATCTATTTAAAAAGCTAATTATAAACAATAATTAATGTGTTTGAAAATATGATTCATATTGGATTCCATTGGCAAAACACAGATGACTCTCTCGTGAGTGGCAATTAAGCATTTGGGGTCTTAAAAGTGAATATTTTTTAATATATATTTCGAATTTGAACTCTCTGTGATATATTCAATATTTTTCAAATCATAATTTCCGATCTCCCCCGATTTCTCGCAGTGCATGCACCTTGAAGTATGCTCCACTCACCTTTAAGCCGGCGACTAATTGCTGCCGCTGTGGCCGCCGCCGCTGTTGTGTTGTTGTTGACTGCCGCGGCTGCCGCCGACGCTGATCCCGCCGCCGACGATGACGCGGACGGCACCTGCCCCTGGACAGCTGCTGCGGTGGCCGCCGCCAAGGCTGCCCCCGCTGCCACCGCCGCCGCAGCCGCTGCCGCCGCGTCGTAGGCGTCCTTGTCGGTAATCTCCTCCTTAATTATCGCCTTGCCATCGAGCGCCATCTGGAAATAGTCGGGAAACGGGCAAAGACAATCGGTTAGTGGTTGTTAAGCAGGGGGGAAATGGGGGAAATAGGGAAATGGAAAAATGAAAATGGGGGAGGGCCAACCATGCCCGGCTAATTTCCCCGGCAGACTGCACAGGTTCCCAGCGTTTCCCAGCGATAGACGAAAACATCAAGTGACAAAGTTCTCACATTATGTTTTCAACTTATTTGATTTCAATTTGATTAAATGGCTGTCTGACATGCAAATTGGGCGCACCCGCACTGAAATTCACCAGTCAAAGGCGAAGACCTTGGGCCTTTGTTCGCTTCGAGAGGAAAGAACAGCTGCCGCTTTAATTTGGCCAAATTGCTTTCATTTTTAAGAGCTTAAAGTGCATAAATTTTAAATATGCACTTTGCCTTCAATAATAAACCAGCTGCATTCATTTAGTTTTATGTGAAATTGTTAAAAGCCCTTAAAATGAGGTAGTTTTGCTGCTCATAATTGGCATTAAAGATTTTATCTAAGCATGGACATTTTTTTATGTTCTTCTGAGTTCATTGATCTTATATTTTAAAGGTGGCTTAAACTGAATGCAATTTTCTCAGCACATTTACCTTATCAAAATACAGCTAATAGATTCTATATTACATATAAGATTTAAATGACCTTTGTAAATTGTCTCTTGTTCATCAATTAACATACATTCTTTTAAATTTCTAAATATTCTTGAGATATTTCTCTTCCCCCCAAAAATAGCAGAGGCTAAAAACAATTCTCAGCCAAAGAATACCGACAGCTGCCAACAGTCCACACGCCGTAGCCACCTGTTCCGTAATTGAGTGGAAGAACTTTTAATTCGAGAGGCCCAACTAAATGAATTTCCATTGGGAAATCTCGAAAAGGGAGGGGGGGAAAAGTCGAGACGAGACCAAGAGATCGCTAATTGACTCGGCAACTGCACTTCCTGTTTACCAATCATTGCGACCCATTTCCCCCGGCTCCCTGGAGTTCCGGTAACCCACTTGCCAACCACCACCCACTCACCACCACCCATCTTTCCACACCCCACATCTGAAACTTGTTCATGTCCAGCTCGCATGAGGGGAAACATTTCTGTGTTGATTTTTATCACTAAAATATGTAAATACCTTTGCGGACTGTGGGAGTTTGTGCAGCTTGCCATGCCTCTGCGTAAACAAGAGGGGGAGGGGGGGCGGAGGAAACAAGTAAAACACGAAGGAAAAGCGGAAAAATAGGGGAGGAGTGTGGGGGTTAGTCCCTGTAAACCTGTTCATTTTCATTCATGTTTTCGATCTATCTCTGCTGGCCGTTTTTATTTTGCGCCGAGGTGCAAGAAATGTTTAGAGCAATTGTTTAAAGTCAATCGTCGCGCCTGGCAATATTTACAATCGAGTGGGGGCATCGAAACCCCTCCTGCCCCCCTTCTAAACCAGGAAGGGGGGAGGGAAAGGGGGGAAGAGCAGCTGTTTGGCATCAGAGCGAAATTACACACAGAAATGCCGCAAATGAAATTCTATTAAAAACAAACACTTGACACGCCGGCAGCTGCCGTTTTTGCCAAAGTGCGGGGGTTGCGGGTTGCGGGGTGCGGGGTGCGACTACTAATGACTATGACCCAGCCCCTTTTTTCATGTTTGCCCTCTTGTTTTTTATGCCAGACAATTCGATCTTGTGCTATCCCCCAGTTGGCGGAACACTTGACAAGTGTTTGGCGGCGAGGTCTTTCCAGAGTTGGCAAAAAAAACAGAGAAAAAAAGAGACACACAACATGCGTGAGTGGGTGGCGGGGGCAAACAACAACAAGTGTTTGTGAAAGGCGGCAGGTGAGCTTAATTGGGAAGTGGGTGGCAAGGTGGGAGGGAAGGTGGGAAGGTGGATGGGGGGTGGTGGCTCTGACTCACTTAATAGCCAGCAGCTGCCGCCTTTGGCCCTGGCTATGACGAATGAATCAAATGTCAGGAGCAGTCGTGTCGTTGTCGCTCAAGCAGCTGTCGCCTGTCGTCGCCAGAAGGCGCCCCCCAAATGCCCTGCCCCTCATCCGCCTCCCACTCCCCCTCTCCCGATCCCAATCCCCAATTTTCCATCCTGTGTAAGGCAAGCACTTCAAAGAGCCGGGAGCCTCACAAGCTTCCATCGCAGCAAAATGGAAAATGTCGCCCGCAGAAGTTTTTCCCACAAAACTTGGGCCAGCTGAAGCTGGAGCTGAAGCGGCAGGATCCGCAGGGGGAAGGGTGAGGGGGAAAGAGGAAGGGGAAGGGGAAGAGGCTGTGAGGCTGCGACGGCTGCCGGCGAAATTGCCAAGAGGAAAAGTAATTATTTAAACGGAGGCAGCACAGTGGGATAGAAGCCTCAATTACTGATTTACTCGAAGAACTCATCAATGGTGCGGTTTAAAACATTTGATCAGTATTTTTATTTAATTCGTCTAAATAATTAAGCAAGTTCAGACTATTAACACTAGTATCTAAAGCCTAAAGAGAAAGTAACAAATTTTAATTTGAATATATTCTTATTACTTAAATATAGTTTTCCAAAATGAAATTTTATTATGCGCCATTATTGAATGGCCTTTAGGTTTCCTATGATTATTGTTATTTGCTATATTAGGAAGCCCAAATAAATGTTGTGATAAACTTTTTGTTTGTATTAAAAAGGTTTCAATCTATACTTAAAAGAAGTTACGTAAACATCCTAATCAAAACAGAAAAAATAAGTACATGGGAAAACTATTTGTTGGCATTTAAATATATACTTCAAATTGTGTCTAACATTTCTAAATCATTAACAGAATTTAACAATGATTTTACTAATATTCACAATGGTCAAAAACAAAAAGTCATTCAAATGTTGGGCTTCTAACATTTGATAAGAAATTTTATTCCCAAAATCGAATCTGCTCAGCTCACACTCCAATAGCAACTATTAGCAGCCCATGCTCGGTGATTTGACAAATGAATGGCAACGGCAAAATACATTTTCACTGCATAATTTTCAATTAGGCTGGCAGAAATCATAAAAAAGAAAGGACCAATTTTAAACGACATTCATTTAATTTCTTTTGGGGGCGGAGGCGGGTGCTCTGGCAGGGGCGTGGCCCAAAGAGCCATGTGCTGGACACCAAAGCATTTTATACTTTTATCCCTTTTGCTAACAAAAACACACCCACACACACACAGAGAGAGACACACAAATGGTGCAGGATAAAAAGGACGAGAAGTGGTTAACGAAAAGGCGCGCCAACTGAAATAACAACAACAAAGGATGTGGAAAATGGGGTGTGAAAGGGGGGTGGGTTGAAGGCCGGCCGAGAACGAGGTGGGTGGATGAGTAGTGGAGGTTGGAAAATCACAGCACAGCTGCATGTGCTTTCCCCGTAAGCTGCCCATTTTCCTACCACTTACCCCGCCCCCCCGTACCCCTTACCCCTTCCTCATCACATATGGCCGTGTGTGCGAATGACAACCAACTGGACCTCGGACCTCGAACCTCGAACCTGGGACTCACAGGACTCGCAGGACTCGCAGGACTCAGTGGACTCCGGGGCACTTTGTATTGCGGACGCCGCATTGTGCGTCATTATGCGCAAGTGGCGCCCGTTTTCCCGCTGCTGGGAGGGATTACTGGCGACGACACCTGTGCAACAGCAACATCGTTTCACAGTTAAAAACTTTTTTGCAACTTGCTGCGTCAGCTGCTTCATTACACATGAACCTACAAATGTATGCTGGCGCTGGCGAAAAGATGGGTTGTGTGAAGAGTTCTCGTGAAATTAAAGGCAGTGTGAAGAGTTCCCGGGGTCTGGTTAATTAGCATTGAAACCGCCAAAGGGGCTGAAAGGGGACCGTCTGGCATTCAGGGGTTAATTACACACTGAGCGACTACAATTATAGCCATTCGAAACATTATGGTTTTTAAATGAGATGTGAGAAATGTGCCAAAGTGATTACTAAGCATTTGCCAGGGGCATAAAAATCGATTTGTTGGATTTTCCAGTGAAAAAGAAATATCATTGCAATTAAAATGTAACTAGTATTTATTTGGATTTCAAAATTCTTTAAGCTTTTAATTTTCAGGAGTTAACTTTTAATAGTTCTAAGTGCAACACAATTTTTATTTTGTACTGTGATTTTTGATTAGTTTGAAGTAATAAAAGGTTGAATTTTGAGTCGTTATTATTATTGTTCTAAAGCATTTATTTTTTGGTCTGTTGATCATAAAATGTTACATACATATATTTTATTGATAAAAAATGTATTAAATAATGTAGACATTTTGTTTCTTTTTTCGTAGATTTTAAATTAAGGAAACCAAAAACCATTATAAATAATGTTCCCTAGTGTGTTGGATAAAAACATTTGACTTAATTCCTTTAAGATTCCCTTTTTATAGATTGGCTAATGAAATTGCAATCTTAATCCCCTTCTGATTCAGCCACTACAAAAAAAAATCAATTTAAAACCCTTACCCTTTAATTCACGCTCATTAAACTGCAATAAAATACATAATTGGCTGAGTCAGTGGCCGAACTTCAGCGGCAACCCTCGTCAACTATTTGCTAAGCGCCTCTCAGTCTGCCAGAGTGTCTGTTTCTGTATGTCTGTGTGTCTGTTGGCAACGTGCCGCAGCATTGGCGTCATTTTAAATTACACATCAGACACACACACACACACACACACACTCGCCGAACAGACAACGAGCAACAGGAAGCGGGGCAACAGCAACATCAACATTTTTGCACTACTTGGCCGCACGTGCGAGTATTCCTGCCCAACCACGCCCCCTGCCACCGATGCCCGCCCCTTTATTCACCCTTCATTTGCAGCCTGTGTGGGGCATAATAAGATAATGGCTTGTCACAGGGCAGCAACATCAGCAACTACGGGGAAAAACAGTTGAACAAGTGTCGCGCTTAATCGGCTTTATGGTCTGTTTTATTTCCGATACGAACTGCTTTATGCAGAGGGTTTCTGGGGCAGTCGAAAAAGGGGAAT